ACACTCATGAATGAACCTGGGTGAAACCAATGAAAGAACCATCCAGCCAACATGCAGAATCAGAAGTTAAAAACATACATCACTTTGTTTGGCGCTGTTTGTTGTGCAGCAACAGACAGCTGAAGAGCAGAAGAAGTATTTCTTCCCTCCGGGTAGGTAGGATTTTTCTCTATCTCTTTTATGGCCTTTCTCACAAATTACAACCTTGCTTTCTGGGTAATTACCTTCTGACCACTACCAGATTGTAATGTCATTGAGGGTGAAACAACTTATTGGTTTTAGATTTCTCCTAAAATACTATACCCAGAACTGTAGGTAGTAGGTGATGAGTCCATTTGCAGAATAAGTAATGGCTCCTTCCAAGGGAGTCTTGAAATTCAAGTCCCAGAGGAGTTTATTATAAAGTAGTTTTCATTATGAGAGCACTTAGAGAGCCACTGTCTTAACTCTGTCCCACAGCCTAATAGGGGTGGTTAGTGTGTGGGTAGAGGTTAGTATGGCATGGAAAGAGAGCTTTAACAGGACATTATTCAGGGATTATTCCATCACACCTTCCTTCAGTGCCCCCTATACCTGTCAGAACATGCTTTATATTGGTTAACATTTTCTTCTCCTTTTGCTTCTCTAGCCATACACCCCTATATTTAACCTATAATGAAAACATCACCAGGAGCCCAAACTTCTAAATGAATAAGCCATTTTACTATTCCATCCCTTTAAGATCCTTGGTAATGTATCCAATCATCCCTCTCTCCCACTTTTTTTATAAAGATAAAACTAGATTTAAAAAGGCACCAAATATGGCTTTGTCGACGGTGGAGAGTCATAAAAGGACAGATTTGGGAATATATGTATAAGCAATGTACAAATAATGAGCGCTGCTCCATTCTAGAGTGAACACTTGAACTTCCGTGCCAGAAACACCAGAAAGAGCAGTAAACTTGCCTGTCCCCCTGTAGAGCCACAAACCCTTCCTCTTTTGTATCCAGAGTTTCCTTAGTTCATTAAACGCCTGTGGGACCCAACTGGTGGATGGATACCAGTGTCTAAGTAGAAGCTGGTATCCACAACCTGGGAAAGTTGTGTCTAAAAATCAGAACCCAAGTAAAGTCTCCAGCTCCTGTAGCAATCACAAATGCTGGGACAGCAGCAGTTCCTTTATCATTAAATATGTGGGGTAGGTTGTACTCCCTTCAGTGTTAGGCTCAGTGGAGAGGCTTCTGGCCAAACTGGCCATGGTCCTTAGAGTTATTTTTTCAATTCGTTGTTACTTCCCAGTTGTAAGGCAGTTACAATTTGAGCTATGACAAGGGGAAAACCCAGGTGCCATTCGGGCTCCCATAGAGACCACATGAGGTTGGAGGAGGAGGCTGGTGGGGGCACTATCCCCAACGGTTGGGTCCAGTGGATACTAATAGACCTCAGAGTTCTCCTTTGGTTTCTGGGAAGGGTGAGGTAGAACCCTCAGCTAAAGGGTTCTTCAGGAAAAGGCAGCCATGCTAGCATTATTTTCAGTTAAGGAGCCTCTACATTAAATAGACCTGAGCTAAAATGTCACATCTGTACCAATCAGATTTTTACCATGACCATGAACTGGAACCATCTCCCTTGACCTCCTAGTATTTCCTTCTCCTATGACAATGGGGTCCTTTCCATTTGCACTTGCTTAATTAGAGGAAATTATGTCAGTAACACCTAAAACAAGGAAGATCTCTTTAAGGTGACTCACTGTTAGTCTATCATCCATCATTAATCCCAAAATAATGGTATATTCACCCTACACTTATATGATTAAGGAAATTCTCCTAAATTATTCTTTTTTTTTTTTTTAACGTTTATTTATTTTTGAGACAGAGGGAGACAGAGCATGAACGGGGGAGGGTCAGAGAGAGGGAGACACAGAATCTGAAACAGGCTCCAGACTCTGAGCTGTCAGCACAGAGCCCAACGCGGGGCTCGAACTCACGGACCACGAGATCATGACCTGAGCAGAAGTCGGCCGCTTAACTGAGCCACCCCGGCGCCCCTATTCTTTTTTTTTAAACATTTATTTATTTGGAGAGAGAGAGAGAGAGAGAGAGAGAGAGAGAGAGCATAAATGGGGTAGAGGCAGAGAGAGAGAGAGAGAGGATTCCAAGCAGGCTCCTCGGCGCTGTCAGCCCAGAGCCCGACACAGAGCCGGAACTCACAAATCTGGAGATTACGACCTGAACGAGAGCCGGAAGTTTAACCTATTATTCTTTACATAACAAGGGGCTGCTCACCTTGACTTTTGCCCCTGCTCTATCTTGAAACTCCCAACAAAGTTGAAAGAATAAAGTAAAAAGTTCCCTAAGGGTGGGGGGAATCCTACATATGTTATCTCTGTCTAGGTACCCATTTAGTAGAGCCCTTCAATAGGTTTGAAAATTGCAGGTATTCCCTACTTTTTATAAGTTCAAGTTATGCCACTTTGCTTGTATGAAAGAGTTTCATTAGTACAGGTATACCTCAGAAATATTGCGTGCTCGGTTCCAGACCACTGAAACAATGCCAATATCACAATAAAGGAATTCAAATAAATTTTTTTTGGTTTCCCAATGCATATAAAAGTTATGTTTACACAATGCTGTAGTCTATTAAGTGTGCAATAGCATTATGTTTGAAAAAAGTATGTATCTTAATATTTTAGTGCTAAAAAATGTTAACCATTAATTAAAAATAAATTAAAAAAAACCCAAAGATATACACCTTGTCATCATAACCCACAAAAGAAAATACAGATGGACATAAAAATTTTAATGTGAAAAATTTCTGGAAAATACGGCCTAGTTGGAGCTAGGAGGATATAATTCAAAGGAGGTGAAACCAACTCAGATGTGCATTCAAGAAGGGGTCTAAAGAAATAATTCAATATTCTTGAATCTGTTTTCACTTAACAGGTATCTGAGAAGGGAAAAGCCCTTGGTATACTGACCCAAGAAATTTCTGTAATGAAGCTTACTCACATTTGTTAGCAAGTAACTCATATCTTTGAAAATTTCAGAATCTTATAATTTATTAGTGTTGCTTTTTGGAAGGATAGATTGCATGAGGCATCTGATTATTAAATAAAATTTCACTGGTGAAGAAAAGGCTAACCAATCATCTGAGCTTTCAACAAGTTGTAATCACTGATCACAGATCACTATAACCAATATACTAATAATAATGAAAAAGTTTGAAGTACTTCAAGAATTACCAAAATGAGACTCGGAGACACAAAGTGAACAGATGCTGTTGGAAAAATGGCACTGATAAATTTACTTGCCACAGGGTTGCCACAGCATTCAGTTTGTTTAAAAAAACAAAACAAAACAAAACCCACAATATCTGCGAGGAGCATTAAAGCGAAGTGCACCGAAATGTGGTATGACTGCACCTGGTTTCCCTAAGCTTAAGAAATCCAAAAGAGGATTTTCACTTTTACCAGAAAAGCAAAATAGCTTTCACTGTTTTGCAGCTAGCTGTGGTGGAGGCCGTTCGCACAGAAGGAAAAGTGGCACCACCAAGCTCCTTCCCTGGGAACTACACTCAGCATTAAGCCGCCATAGATTTGAATTGTCTTTGAGCATCTGTATTTTCTCCATATATTTTGTGCATCCGTTAGCAAGATGTGTCCTAAGGTATCTGAAAACCCTAAGAGATTATTTTGGGGATTCGGGACTACTCAAATTTTTTTCCATAATAATGGTAATTGTCTTCGTTTTTTTCACTTGAGCTGAGGAAAGGTTTCATAGGACTCTACTTTCGGATATGGCTGGGTAAACTTGTGTCATCTGCTATGCAAGTTGAGTATGGAGGATGTATAGGGATGAACAGGAGAGTGAGTAGGATTGGCTGTATGTTGAAACGTCTGAGGGGCTCACGAGATTCTCCAGTACTTGTCAGAATAACCTCCATTGGCAGTCTCCTCGCTGGGACTAAGTTGAGACTAGTCTCAAGACTGTCTCATTTTGTCAGCAAGGTTACTAAAACATCCTTGTACTTAATTGGTTAACTCGGCCAAAAAACACTTATGATGCATATGTATTTAGGACTGGCAGGGGTCATGAAACTGAGTGAAATATGAAATATCCCTGTAGTGATAGATCCAGATTCATAAAAGGTAGTTTCATAATCAGGGATGCGGAGTGAGAGGGTGGGGTCTGCAGGGCTGGTCCCTGGAGAAGCCAGTCTTGTGTTCTGTTCCAGAAGTAACTCCAGCGGGAAAGGGTGGATGATTATCTTAACATTTTAATGCATTTCCTACTGGTACATCTTTATTCCGACTTTCTACAGGTTATTTCATTGAGCAGAGCGGCTAACTCTCGCCAGCCTTTCCTCCTCTGGCTACTCAGCCCAAGCTCCAGCACTTTCACTAGAGCCACGCCCCCGAGTTCTGGACCTAAGTTCGGACCAATACAGTTGCACCTCACGAGTCACAAGACCGAGAGGCCAGCCAATAGGAGACCAATTATAACCGCAAAGAGGAGATGTCTTTTAGTGGTATCTTTGGACCAATGAGGAGCAATGATTATGCACTGGCTCTGCGCGCGTAACAGAGGAAGCCAGGCTTCCTGAAACAGGTGACCAGTGAGCTGAAGCAGCCTAGTCCCACCTCCTGGTCTGGAGGTAACGCGATGGGCCACGCTTCCAATGGCTCGCAGAACCTCTCGTCACGTGCAGTTTTTGCGGGCCCAGCGGCCTCCGGGAGGTCATGTGACAGTTGACGTTGCCGCGACTCTCCCAATGGAAAAAAAGAGCTGCCTTCGCAGGACCAAGAATTGATTTATCTCCACGAATAATAGCACGGCGGGGGCGGGGACAGCCTATCACGTGCTTGCGGGACGGAATCGGGCGGGGCAGGCCACTGGTTGCGGGGCGAGCTGGGCGCGCGGCGCGCAGGCGCTCTGGGGACCCGGTAGCGGCGGCGGCGGTGGCTGCGGAGACGGCGGCGGCGAATAGAGCCGGGTCCTTGGCCGAAGCAGTAGGCGGTGGTGGCGGCCATGGCGGCAGACGGAGAGCGATCCCCGCTGCTCTCCGAGCCCATCGACGGTGGCGCCGGCGGCAACGGATTAATGGGGCCGGGCGGGAGTGGGGCTGGGCCCGGGGGAGGCCTGACCCCCTCCGCACCACCGTACGGAGCCGGTAAACATGCCCCGCCCCAGGGTAAGCCGGGGTGGGTCCAAGATGTTCCCGGGGGGGTACGCTGAGAGGCGGGAGGGGGCGGGGCCGAGGGCGGAGGCGGGGCCCAGGCGCCAGGTGCGGAGCAGTTGCACCTGTGACTGGGTGAAGCTCTCTTCTTTCCGCAATTGTTACCGGAACTTGGGAACCGAAGGGGGGTCTGAGGAAGCTGACTGAAGCACGGATTATAAGAAGCCCGCCGAGCTAGATCAGAAGGGTTGAGGACCAAAAAGAGTTCCTTGACCCCGTGGAGCATCAGTAGGGGTGTCTACAAGTGATGCCACCCTTCTTTTTACTTTCCTCTCCAGCGTTTCCCCCGTTCCCTGAGGGACACCCAGCCGTGTTGCCTGGGGAGGACCCACCCCCCTACTCACCCCTGACCAGCCCGGACAGTGGGAGTGCCCCCATGATCACCTGCCGAGTCTGCCAGTCTCTCATCAACGTGGAAGGCAAGATGCATCAGCATGTAGTCAAATGTGGCGTCTGCAATGAAGCCACTGTGAGTTACACACATCTATGAAATGGGCCCTGTTTCCTGGATCCTCTTTCTGATCTCTTGATTCTAGACCTTGATGTTCAGGTGTTAGCCGAATGGTAATCCTGAAACCCAGGTTTCAGTTCCAGGAGTCTCACATCACCATTTCCCCAGCAGCCACTCACCAGAGCTGATGTTTACCATCCTGCACCTTCATTTCTATTCTGGATACTTAAGCCTAGTCTTTATTTGCAAATCTTCTGCTATATGTTTTTCTTTCATTTCTCTGACCTGGCTAAGACCTTATCTGGCTAAGACCTTATCTCTCTGATCTCTTCTCAGAAGGTGTTTTTGGAGGAAATGGAAGGGATTGGAATTAAAGGTTTGCTTACCGATGTCCTCATTGTTCTCTAGCCAATCAAGAATGCACCTCCAGGGAAAAAATATGTTCGGTGCCCCTGTAACTGTCTCCTTATCTGCAAAGTGACTTCCCAGAGGATTGCCTGCCCTCGGCCCTACTGGTAAGAGGCATAAGGTGGGGAAGGGCATCAGTGGGAATAATTGGAAAGCCCTAAAAAGGATGAATGTTTGCAGAGCATGTAAAGGTGTTTATTTAGAAGGAGAAAAAGTTAAGGACTGTTGTACCGTTAGAATTTTACAGCCATCTTGTTCAAATCTCAGTAAAAAGACTGGGATGAAATTTATGTCCGTTAGGGAAATAGAGAGTCTAGGGGACTGGGTGAATTATCCTCAGGTAAAATGGAAGTTAGAGACCTGAAGTTTAAGTAGTGCTATTTCTCAACCTTCCCTCGGGCTAGGGTTGGGTGGGGCAGAGTATATGCCGTGTACAGAAAAGTAGAGGAATTTAGAAAGGCAGGGATTGGGAGCTATGAAGGAAGGCTAGTGTGGGCATTTTAGGATTAAAAATGATTTAAACGTAGTCTTTTTCTCCATTACAGCAAAAGAATCATCAACCTGGGGCCTGTGCATCCAGGACCTCTGAGTCCAGAACCACAGCCTGTAGGTGTCAGGGTCATCTGTGGACATTGCAAGAATACTTTCCTGGTGAGGAGGAGCATTGGGAAGCCTTGGGAGGAAGCGGGAAAAACAGAAGTAATCATGAATATATTTCTGAGTTATGATAATGAATACTGAGAAGGTCTGTTTTAATTTCCCTTCTGTTCCTTTTCCCACCCTCCCCTGCCCCAGAGCCTTCACTGGACATGACCCTGCTTGTATTAATTGGGTTCTCCCTTTTTTGTTCTCCATAGTGGACAGAGTTCACAGACCGAACCTTGGCCCGTTGCCCTCACTGCAGGAAAGTGTAAGTGACTGGAGAGTGGCATTGTTGAACTGGTAATTTTGTAACATGTACAGTAAAACCTGCAGGGCCATTGCAAGCATCAATTTGTTTGCCTCCCCACAGGTCATCTATTGGGCGCAGATATCCACGAAAGAGATGTATCTGCTGTTTCTTGCTTGGCTTACTCTTGGCAGTCACTGCCACTGGCCTTGCCGTGAGTAACCTTGATCCGGCCCTTCGTTCTTCAGCCTCATCTCCATAGCCTACAATTTGGGAAATGGCTAACCTAAAAAAAGTGAAAGAAACCGAGGGGTTTTTGTTTGTTTTGCCTTGTTTTAATGTACACATGAGCTGAAGTTGAAGGTAACTGATAAACAATCTCCATTGTTATTATGGGAGTGAAAAACAGCCATCTTCTTTATACAAAAGACAGGGCAATGAAGAAGTGGCTTAAATTAAGAGTTGCTGTTAGAATTGGCTCCCTTGTCCAACACTAAGAAACACTGACAGATGTCTGGGATTGTACAAGTTATGTACCTGCCTAGGGGAAGAGAGCACAATTGGGCCTTTAAGAAGGTCCCTGAAGGTGGATACACGTGGTTAGGCAACCAGGCACTGAAGCTTCCATTCTGTGTTGCTGTTACTAGGGCTTTTAGAAAGTGGTGAGAGATCAACAGTAACCCCATCTTCCTTCTTCTTCATCAGTTTGGGACATGGAAGCACGCTCGGCGATATGGAGGCATCTACGCAGCCTGGGCATTTGTCATCCTGTTGGCTGTGCTGTGTTTGGGCCGGGCCCTCTACTGGGCTTGTATGAAGGTCAGCCACCCTGTCCAGAACTTCTCCTGAGCTCCAAAACGACACACAGACTGTGCCTGGCCCCTTCCTGGTGGGGACAGTGACACTACAAAGGGAACCGTGGTAAAAGGCTCCCTTGGCTTCTGTAAGGGGAGCCAAGCAGCTGCCTTCCTTTTCCCTGGGGAGAGGTAGGAAGGAACCAGACCCTCACTTAGGTTTGGAGGGGTAGATAAGACCACTGCTGGCCATCTGCTTTCCTCCAAGGGCTGCTGTGTTTAGGGTGAAATAGGCAAAATGTTGCCCCTAAACCTGGGTCCTAAAAGAGGGTTCTAGCCTTGTCCTTCCTATATACTCCCTGAGAGCCATTCCTGTCCCTTAAACATTCCAGGGCAGGGTGGGGGTGGGTAGCCCTGGGGGTTCCCTCCCTTTTGTGCACCATTAGGACCTTGCTGCTGCTATTGCACTTCACCAGGGGCTGGCGCTGGCCTGTCCCCTCAGTCTCCTGTCCCCCCATTCTGTGTCCCGGGGGGTGGGGATGGGGTCAGCCGCTGCTCTGTACAGACCACAGGAACTGATGTGTATATAACTATTTAATGTGGGGTATGTTCCCCTAGTCCTGAATTTCCCTTAACTCCTCCTTCCAACCTTACCCCCCAGTTGCAGTATTTAACTGAGCTGGATAAGGTTGCTCTGTCTTGGGGGAAGCTAGGGATTCATCCTGTGCTTGTAAATAAATAAGGTCATGACTATCCTTTTCCAAGTTGTTTATCTTTATATATGAAAAGATAAGGAGAATTTGTAGCCCCACAAAGGGGTAGAATACAAAGACAGCAAGGCTGAAACTATGGCTCTTTATTTTCATGTGGACAGTTCAGAGAAAGTCATCAGTAGCTTTTGTTTAATGTAAAAAAAAAAAAAAAGCACAAAAAAATCGGGGTTTAAAGGAAACCTAAGTGTCACTAGGAGCCTGGTTGAAGGACTCGTATTTTTAGAAGGGAAGTAACAGTGCAGATTTCTTTAGAGAGCAGTTTTTAAAGAAGTTTGGGGAGGTTAAGTTTTAAAGCTAGCTTGGGGGGCTTATTTCCCCAGCATAAAGTAATTTAAGGGAGGTGTCACAGTGCTAGGTACAGGGTGATGGGACAGTGGTCACTGCCCAGGGCCTTGGAACGGATCTTGCTGTCACACAACGCGGGTAACAGAGAGTGTGACAACAAAAAGTAATCAAGGCGCCAACCAACATTTTTGGATCGAGCATTCATCATGTAGGTCCAAAAGGTATATGCATAGGCCGTGTTGGGGTAGAGGTGCCGGAAGCTGTCAGCCAGAGGCACAGCCTCTAGTAATTCCCCAAAGCCTTGACGCTCTTGTGGAGTGAAGCCAGCATTCTTTTTGTTTCCCTTGGGGTTGCGAAGGTCAATTTCTTCATGGGCCACATTGAGGTCCCCACAGAGCACAAGGGGCTTGCGGGAAGCCAAGCCCTTTAGGAACTTGCGGAAGGCCTCATCCCAGCGCTGCCGGTACTCCAAGCGGACCAGACCTCGGCCTGCGTTAGGTACATAGGCTGTTACCAGCACAAATGAGTCAAATTCAGCCACAATCACCCGGCCTTCCTGATCGTGTTCCTCCTCACCTACAGAAACAATGAAACAAGATCAGCATAAAAAAGTATACAGAATGGGAAAGCAAAGAAAGTAACTCCCATTAGGAGCTGGAACGGGAATTAGCAATTGGTTTGAAAGACCTCAGGGATTAGGAATTAACAGGGTCTCACCAATGCCATAGGAGACTTTGAGTGGGCACTGGCGGGAGAGCAGGCCCACACCACTGTACCCTTCCTTGTCTGAAGGAGCTGACCAGTATTGATGGGATAGTCCAGGCAACTCTTGAAGTTCAGCTGGTAGTTTGTTCTCTGAACATTTGGTCTCTTGGAGGCACAGGATATCTGGGGCTTCTTCCTTTACCCACTGTGAGCGAAATGAAAGATAAGAAAAATACTATCAATTCAGACAGCAACGTTTGATTATCAATCAAACATTTACTAAAGACTGTGCCAAGTACTAGAGATACACTGCTTAGAGAGTCGCACGAGATTTTAACACTTCTAAATTATAGAACTGGCAACTGAGAGGTAAAAAGAGTGTTACATGCAACACTGAAGAGATTACATTTCTTCCACAGGCAGAGGATAGCCATCTAAGATTTTTAAGCAGTGATCATTTAATTTTAAGTAAACTCTACGCTCTGCCACACATGGAGCAGCTTAAGTTCACCAACTGGTGGACTGAGCCAGCCAAGCACCCCTAAGCAGTAGTATTTAAACGGAGGATAAACTGGAAATGAAATGGAGCAAGTCCAGTAACAAGGTTTTTGCAACATGCAGGGGAAGGGATGAAGCCATTAAAACAATGGAAATACGTTGAAAAAGACATTTGGAAATAAAAAGGTTAAGAGTTGGTGAAGCCCCTCCTTTTAACTCTTGCACAAAAAAACTAGACAAGGGGAAAAAACCTACAGATTAGGGAAAGGTGATTAAATCCCCAAATCATTCAATACTGAAGAATGTCTCTTCTGGAACCCTCCTTGAATTCCACTCACATCTAAACCTTTCTTTTTAATCCAGGCTCGAAGCCCATCCACATTCCAGGAGCAGATCTTGAGTGTGGCCGATTTACCACTGGGCGAGGTTTTCTGATCTGGGGGGTCCTCATACAGGACCGGCCCCTCTCCTGCTGCCTCTTTTTCGTTTTTCTTTGCTCCAACCTTACTCTTCTTGGCTTCTGGCTCTATAAAATAAGCAATATACAATGATAAAGTTGGCAGTATCCAACTCTGATCCGGATTGGACTACAGACCCCCCATTGTGAGCTTGCAGTTGCTGCGACTTCTTCAGCCTGCAAAAACGCAGTCAGCAGGTCCGCACTTCCTGTTCACCGGGGTTAGAAACCCCCTCACGGCAGCCCCTAGGGAGAGGGCCTCATTTCATTCTCTTACCAATCTTGGGCTCTTCCCCGTCTTCTGCCACAGCTCCCTTTTTCCCACGCTTCGGCATCACTGTAGCGAACGCCCTTCTGAACCTGTACCACGTCGCCCACCGAAGCAGTATTTTTACCGCGTTACCTGCAGACGAGATGTCGTGAAACCAGCTAAAGCTGGGGAAAAAACGACTTCCTCGGGCGCCCCCGCACTAGGTACCGCCTTTCAAATCAAACTATCTCTGAATTCTTTCCCCGCCTCCATGCAACCTAGGCCCTTCAGCCCCTCACCCACCAAACTAGATCATTTCATTATGCTTTGTGCCGTGCTCGCGAGATCTGCCCTCCAGCCGATCGAGGGCCTTAATTAAGGGTCCCGACTTAGCTTGCAGATCAGACGATCAAGAAACCCCACCGCTGGGCAAAATAAGAGCAACCCTGCATCTGACCTGCTCGGCTCCCAGCCTGGCTCCTCCTTACCCGAGCACAAAGAATTCGTGCACGCCGTGCCCCCACGTGGGTATCTGGAGTGGTCAGGTGATCTGAGATGTGCAGCCTGAGGCGGGGGCATGCGCGTGATTGGTCTGTCTGGAACCACGTGACGGGAAGGCTCGCCCTACTCCCCCCACCCCCCCCACCCCCCCCACCCCCTTCTGCAACTCTCCAGGGGACTGAAGGCCCCGGCCTTCCATTTTTTGGGCTGTTTATCGGCGTGCCAGGATTCATCTTATCACCCTGACCGAAGATCCTATGCTGCAAGAGAGAGCAGCCAGTGGAGAAGCATTTGGCTGACAACGGAGCATAGGCAAAGAGATGGATAGGAATGTATGAGCAGATGCCACCTCAGCGTCCCTGGCAGTTAGGAGGACAGGTCCTTGAAGGGGCCTGATGGTCGCCGTGATGACGGGGCGGGGCTGCCGCGGGCTCCGCGTGGGAGCCTTTACACTTTGGTGCACCCGGCCCCTGGGTACGTAGTCTTCCCGCCAGGAATCCGCGGCCCAGCACGGCCTGCTGAGGGGCTACATTGCTGCGGTGGTAGCCAGTCTTGCTGGCGTTTTCTCCAGGCTGGGCTCGACCATGCCGGCGGTGCTTGGGTTTGAAGGGCAGCGCACTAAGATTGGTGGTGGGAGGCAGTGGGATATGCGCGGTGCTGAGTGAAACCAAGTGGTGACGATGCCACGCCTCCCGGCAGGTGCAGTGTGCGGATTGATAGTTCACAGCGCCCGCGCGGCAGGAAGGCCTGCCTATCCGCCCATAAAACGCTAGCAAAGTGAAAAGTGGAGCGCATGCCGGTCCCCACAGAGCTGCTTGACTGAGTCTCTGAGATTCGTGGGCAGGATTACCTCACCTTAGGCTGATAGAAGAGTGACAGACATTCTGGACCTGGATCTTGGGTCTGCTTAGCTGCTTGAGCTTTGAAAAATATCGTCAGCCGGAAGTGAAAAAATAGATGTTTTCAGCTTGTGGAGTCGGACATATAAACAAAAGTTTATGGCAAGATGAACATCGAGGTAACGATGCAGTCAGAACTTCCAGGAATGAGAAGGAGTGTAGAGCGTAGCTAGGGGTTAGGGAACAGCAAATATTCATTTTCAGTATTTGTTTTTGGATTGAAGTCTTACTCTTTCAACGTTTTTTTTTTTTTTTTTATCATTTTGGGACAGAGAGAGACAAAGTATGAACGGGGGGAGGGGAGAGAGGAGACACAGAATTGAAACAGGCCCAGGCTCCGAGCCATCGCAGCCTAAGAGCCCGACGCGGGGCTGAACTTCACGGGACCGCGCGGATCGTGAATCTGGCTGAAGTCGGACGCTTAACTCGGTTTGCCACCCAGGCTACTCCCCCTGCCCTTACTCTTCCCAAAGGAATAGTCATACTGCATTATTGAAATCTTTATGGAAAGAAATAAAATTATAGACGATACTTTTTTTTTTTTTTGTTCTTTTTTCATTTTTAGCTTCTATTTTTTTGGGACAGAGAGAGATGACCAGAACGTGCGCAGAGAGATAGAGGAGACATTGTTAGAAATAGGCTCCAGGCTCCGGTTTACTATCGGCCTGTATTCGATCGTTGGCCCGAACTCAATGGACCGCATGGTGATCATGACCTGGCTGAAGTCGGACGCTTAACCGACTGCGCCACCCAGGCGCCCCAGACGTATTACTTTTAATGAATGTTATTTGTATGTTATTTGTTACTGTGTTGTATTTTGTCTGCCCACCCCTAAAACTTCTGCATATGTAGGAGAGGACCACTGACTTGTATATACCTGAAAAGCCTCCCTGAACAGGTGATGTTGTGACAGCTCTTTCGTTAGAAAATACATATCTGTGTTTAGCACTCACTCTTCTAGGCATTTTGGCACCAGGAATGCAAGGATAAATAAAATAGCCAATGCTTTGGGATGCTTATGGTTAAATTGGGGAAAACTACAGATGATTATAATGCTATAATTGATATACGACACAGTGTGTAAAGTACAATGATATGATCGTGCACAGGGCTGGTAGGGTCACAGAGAAGATCACTAAACGGTTTGAGTTAGTTATCCCTTGAATTAAGTCCTGAGGCTGAGTAGGAGTTGAGTATGAAGAAAGGCATTTCTGAGAGCTGGTCAGCCTAGCTGAACAGGCCAGAAAGAGTATATCTGAAAACCTGGAAGATAAGATACTTGAGGAGAGTGAAAGAGACTCTTCCTACACTGTGTAAACCTTAAAAATAAAACAACCAGTTGTTTTACCAGTAAAATGGGCTCATTTAGGAATAGTAGAGAATTGTGATTCAGATCAGGGAAGCTTTGGCAAAACCATAGGCAAATCTAGAGACCAAATGAAAGGATTAATCTTTTATAGGGAAGTGGGGGTAGTTGGGAGGGACTCTTAATTTTAAATTAGTCCATTGAAGTAAACTGAGAGATCCAAGTGTAGTGGCTTTTCATTGGCTGGAAAATCTCTTCCTCTTGATGGGGTGGTAAATGATAGGCTTCTTCCTGTTGGGAATGCAAGGTATGTTCTTTTCTCATCAGGGTCTGCAATTGAGAAGGAGTGTTGGGGTGTGAAGGCTTCCCCTTACAGCCTCCTGACTCTGTTTTAAGTGAGATTTCTTTCATTCTGTTTCACAACAACTAAAACACCCGTTTATGACTTCTTCCTACCTTTGCTATAGAAAAACCCTATGATCTCTGACCTGTGTCCATCTCCTAGGATTCCTTCCAGGTGATACTGCCAGGCATCACCGAGCTGTTATCCTGGACCTGCTACAGGAGGCACTAACAGAGGCTGGATTAACCTCCCAGGATATTGATTGCATTGCCTACACCAAAGGTATAGCTGGGAGACTGACGATAGAAGAACATACCTGGAGCCTGGCTAGGTCAGAATGGCCTGCTGCTCTCTGCTACCACCACTACACCACTACTCCAACCCCACCTTTCACATCCCTTACTTTCCCCAGCTCGGTTTTTCCCAGTGTCTGTAGGATTCTAACTCCCATTTCTATCCCCCTAGGCCCTGGCATGGGTGCCCCATTGGTTTCTGTGGCTGTTGTGGCCCGTACTGTGGCCCAACTGTGGAATAAGCCTTTGCTGGGCGTGAACCACTGCATAGGCCACATTGAGATGGGCCGCCTCATTACTGGAGCCACCAGCCCTACCGTGCTGTATGTCAGTGGAGGAAATACACAGGTATTTGGAGTATTCCATCATTGCTTCATAATTTCTAAGGCAGTGTATCAGCAACTTTCTTGTTGTACCTGAATGGCAGCAACTCAAGAACAAAGCTGGGCTAAGACATGCTAGAAAACCCACAAGAAAGTTTACAACATTGTAGGTTTAGACAGCATGATCAGAACATTAGATGGCTTTCGTATACGTGGTTATAAAGATAAAAAATTTCCATTTAGAAAAGGAAAGAAGGGTAAGGATTGAGGTCTTCAAAATAATGAAAGTGTTTTTACTTTTATTATTTTGAAGCTTTTTTTCCCCTGTACCTTAGCAACTAAAACCGAGGGATACCATGTAATTTGTTTCTTTACAGTAATTTCATATTTTGTTTTATGTTACTGGCAGTAAATAGAAGTTGTTATTCTAAGACTGAAAATATAAGTAATTTTTAAAACATTTTATACGGTAGAAGGTATTTTAAGTTTATAAGCTAAACCAGAGTTGTTTGGGGTACCTTATGAGACCTTTTTAGGTTGGGATTGGAGAACTCTAGCCTTCCTATCCCACAGAGCACCTGATGGGGTTATTGTCAGAAAAAGTCATTGTCCCCAGCTTATGAACGGCTTAAAACTTCATTTTGTGAAATAGTCATTTAAAATGAAGTACACATTCCCATGAAAATGACATGGGAACTTTTACAGGTAGAGGGCAAGTAGCAGGTTGGGGCCTGAAGGATGACATACAAAATTAGGGACTCAGGGTGTGGAAAGTAGCAATGGAGGCTTGCAAGAGTTAACGAAGAGGAGCAGTGATAGTTTTTCTCTTCCCTCTTGAAACTTGGTTAGGTGGGAAAAACAGGGAAGATGATTGGTAGAGAGGAGTAGATAACAGAAGTAGAAAGACAGGATTTTTTTTCCTTCCCCTTTTGTGGCCAGCCTTTTAACAGCAGAGTATGATCTACATCAGAATGGAAAGAAATCTTTAGTAGCATCGAAAAGGGAGAAGGACTTCTTATAGTCTTAATGAAGCACTCATTGTCAGGAGTATATGTGTGAGTGGGTGATAAATATTCTCTGTGCTAGAAGCTAGTCATATGTGAAGAATGGACATAAGTTGATTGCCAGTGTTGAGTTGGGTGGGTCATTAGTGTGACCCAATATGGGATTTTTGAGTTTTTCAACTCTACCTCTTGTTTTGTTTCCAAATAACACTATGCTGGTGGGATAATCTAGAAGGACTCTGGTTCCCTGCTTCCAAGCAGGAAAGCCTGTTCCTAATCCATATTGTCAAGACTGCATTTAAAGGATATATTAGGAACCTCCAATCTAGAAAAATGTATTCAAAACGAGAATTGCTTCTGCCTGACCTAGCCTACCTTCTGTAGATGAGAAATCTGCTCTAGGAATCCTCAGGGTACATATAGGCTTCTGAGATAAGAGCTATGAGAAAGTACCTATTCAAGGTTTGGGTAAGTTCTTTTGTTCTGTTTGTCATTGGAAGCTGCAGTGGCCATGTTGATCCTCTCTTATGCTCTTCCCCAAAGCCAAATACTCCTCTTTACAGACTTGAGGTTTCATGGACATCCTCATCACCCTTAGGTGATTGCATATTCAGAACATCGTTACCGCATCTTTGGGGAAACCATCGATATTGCTGTGGGTAATTGTCTGGATCGTTTTGCTCGAGTGCTAAAGGTAAGCCACTGGGGCTGGAGAAAACATGAGATATGGATGAATTAGAAATGGAGGGAGAAGGTCATAAATTAGTTTCTTATGCCTCCTAGATATCTGTCTCTATCCTCTTTTTCCTTCTGCTAGATTTCCAATGACCCAAGTCCGGGCTACAACATCGAACAGATGGCAAAGCGGTAAGGGGACATGAGGTGGGAGGAGGCTGCCTGGCGGGGCTTCAGTGATTTCCCTGTATGTACATTAAGAAGGCTTTGGAGGGGCTTTGGAGGGTAAGCAGCCAACTAACTACAGGTTGAGGACATCGTATACTCCCTCCCACACAGAGGCAAGAAACTAGTTGAGCTGCCGTATACTGTAAAGGGGATGGACGTCTCATTCTCAGGGATCCTGTCTTTCATTGAGGTGAGTGTGGGACAGGTGAGGAGAGATCACTTTCATGCTTTTATATGAGGCATATCTGTTTTGCTCACCATTGTATTTCGTGCCTGTAGCATAGTTCTGGGCCATGTTAGATGCTGAATAAATTCATTTAGCAAATATGTATTAAGCATCTTCTGTGTGCCAGGCACTCTTCTAGGCAATAGCAACACAGGATGGAACAAAATCAAAGTCCCTGCCTACTTGGAGCTTACATTGTAATGGGGGAGGGGGACAACAAGATGAAGAAACAAAGAAGGGGCAGATAATAAAAAGAGCCAGATGATGATAAGCCTTATGGAGAAAAGTTAAGCAGAGTAAGGGGTCGGGGGGGAGGTTGGGGGTGCCAGGGCAGGCATTTGTAATTATTGAATCCTGAATCAGTGTCACCTGTTCTGTAGCTTAATGCCAGTGAAAGGCAAAAGCATGCTGTAGATAACGCTGGCGAGATGAATTGTCATGAAACATGGTCCTCCAAGTGCACTAATTTTTGCTCTCCTGTCATCCCCAAACCACAATTCATTATTTTATGTATTTTTTTTAATGATAGGATGTAGCCCAACGGATGCTGGCTACAGGCGAGTGTACTCCTGAGGATTTATGCTTCTCTCTGCAGGTAATGGGATAAAAAGCTGGGACTGAACATTGGGACTGGAAGACCTTTTATATAGTACAGCAGAACTAAGCTGGGATCCCCTCTGGTGTTGACACCTTATTTGTCCCCCACAGGAAACCGTGTTTGCAATGCTGGTAGAGATCACGGAGCGAGCCATGGCACATTGTGGCTCCCAGGAGGCCCTCATCGTGGGAGGTGTGGGGTGTATGTATCATTGAACTGTGCCCCTCTTTGCTGTTCTTGGGCATTTACATCTTCCTCCTGATAGTCTTAATCCCTAAGAGTTTGGGGAAATTGCTAGTTTCCGCTTCCCAATGCCTGCCCCCTAAACCCCTACTTCATTTTTGTAAGTAAATACACATGAGGTGTACAGCTGGACCATGCAGAAATGGCTGAAACTAAGCCAGCCCTACCCCCTGCCCCTTCATAGGTAATTTGAGGCTACAGGAAATGATGGAGACAATGTGCCAGGAACGTGGAGCCCGGCTTTTTGCCACAGATGAGAGGTAAAGGCCCTTTCTCTTTCTTGATTTCTTTTTTTCTTTAATTACTGTGATTTTTCACCTTTAGATTCCAAATTTCATATATCTTTTCCTTCCCAGATTCTGCATTGACAATGGAGCCATGATAGCCCAGGCTGGTTGGGAGATGTTTCGGGCCGGGCATAGGACCCCCCTCAGTGATTCTGGAATCACACAGAGGTGTGTACCTCTTGGAGGGTAGATAGGATTATATGGAAAGTAGGCAAAAATCAGCAGGGAAGAGGGTCCAGGATCATGAAGGCAGGGAAGAATGGAAGATTCTAAGGGATAGCTATCCATCAAGTTTTTCCTGTTTTTTCACAGGTATCGGACAGATGAAGTAGAAGTGACCTGGAGGGACTAACAACTTTAACATGATCAGAGTAGATAGTGCCGTACGTAGAGCCTACAGGAACTTGGACCTTAATCTCTGTCTGATCTGGGCACCCTGGTGAGGCTATGGACTCCTGTCTCCCATAATTTGAACCTCAAGTTGATTCAGCAATAAAATATTGTTGGTTTTGGGGCGCCTGGGTGGCGCAGTCGGTTAAGCGTCCGACTTCAGCCAGGTCACGATCTCGCGGTCCGTGAGTTCGAGCCCCGCGTCAGGCTCTGGGCTGATGGCTCAGAGCCTGGAGCCTGTTTCACATTCTGTGTCTCCCTCTCTCTCTGCCCCTCCCCCGTTCATGGTCTGTCTCTCTCTGTCCCAAAAATAAATAAACGTTGAAAAAAAAAAATTTAAAAAAAAAAATATTGTTGGTTTTGTATGTTGGTAATTGTCTTGTGTTAATCAGGAACAATACAGAGTTGGCACTGGATAAATTCTTGTTGATGGGGTGAATGGATAAGGAGGCAGGGGTCAGAGCAGTGCCTTGGCTGACTGCAGGGCTGCTGCTGTGGAGCTGAGATTGAGGGGATATCACAGCTCCTCTTCTGACATCTCCTTAATAACAGCATTGTCATAACTAATACTATTTCAGTGTCAGGCTCTATGCTGAGTGCTTTGTGTTCGTCACCCCATTTAAATTCTTTGGAGTAGGTACTCAGGACTTGTCTCAGAATAGCCTGGGGCCAGGTCTAATTTTGTACGAATTTGTAACTCAAGAGCAAAGCTGTCCCTCCTCCTTGCACTTACTCCCACATGCTCCTACATATACTTCCCCTGGTGGATTTGAAGGGTTGCCCCAGATCCACCTCCCTCCCTACCACAGCCCTCTGGAACTAACATCCTGCCCTTTATCGTGTTTGTCCAGCACCACGAGGAGACCCAAACCAGCAAGTCTCCTCTCAGCTTTGCACTCTAATAACTGTTACTCTCCACCCCTTATTTATTTGTTCCTCCTGAAATTCTTTTGTGCTCTCTGGAACTAAACTGATTAGTAGTAAAATTACCTATATCCTCATCCTGTTTTCTGAGTGTTCTCTTTACGTTCCTGTTCAGGACCCTGGTTTCCCCCTGAGAACTCTGTTTCTCCTACTGTGTCTAATGATGGTATTTTCTCACCCACATCCATTGGCCCTGGAGAGGGTGGTGTGGGTGACCTCTTTTCTCCTCATACTATGTTCGATCTATTCCCTCTCATCCCTAACACATCTGAGCTTTGAAACACATGTCATCTGTTAACTATACCGTGCCGCAACCACTCCTGTCAAATCCTGATGATTTTAGTACCCATGTAGGTGATCATTCTAATGCTCTGGCCTCAGCTCTGTGCTCTTCCCGTGATCGTGTCCTCCACCCCCACTTCAGCCACTCATTCCCTTGGTCCTAGTGGAGGCCTACAGCTCCTCCATATTTCATTCTGAGACATCCCTCCTATTTTTGTAGCTCATTCCCTTTAGTGCACTGAATCCAACAATTCATCTCTTCATCAGGCCCTACAATCTGTTGCTCTTCCTTTCCACTGACCTCATCCCCTACAAGTATTCATTTCCCTCCAGCTAAACTCCAGTCATGAGCACTTCACTGCAAACACCTCGCCTCCCTCACCTCTCTGGCTTTCATCAGCCTCAACTCTTCATCTACTTGATTTCTAGACCCATGCAGCTAAACAGGCCAGCAAAAAACAGCCAGGTTGACCTGTCTTACTTTAAATTCAACCCTGACACTCAAGCGGGTCCTTTATGTTCCCTAGTCCTTTCGATTGCCTTGTTTCTGGTAACTGTTTTATTATGCCTGCTGACACCTCAAATCTCCCATATCTTCCCCCACCCATTCTCACTCTTATGTTGGCTGCTATGTTAGTGAGAAAATAGAAGCAATCAGAAAATGTATGGGTGCCTGGGTAGCTCAGTCGGTTGAGCATCCGACTTTGACTCAGGTCATGATCTCACGGTTTGTGAGTTCAAGCCCACGTCAGGCTCTGTCTGTACTGACAGCTCAGAGCCTGGAATCTGCTTTGGATTCTGTGTCTCTGTCTCTCTCTGCGCCTTCCCTGCTCGTGCTGTCTTGCTCTCTCTCTCAAAAATAAGTAAACATTAAAAAAATTAGAAAAAAAAAAGCAATTAGAAAATGTTCACAAGCTCCCACCACTACATCTAATCACCTTCCAGTATTTATACCCATGTACTCCGCTTTCTCTCCTGCTAGTATATACCAGTATACTGTTAATAACTGTTACTGTATACTCAGCTGGGATTGAATTTGCTCCCCAGAGGTTTGGTTGTCACAACTGGAACGCAGGACTACTGGGTAGAAACCAGGGATGCTGCAAAATATCCTGCAGTGCACAGAACAGCTCCCCACACAAAGAATTGTCTAGGCTAAAATGTCATTGGTTTCAAGGTTGAGAAACTGCTATGAACAAACTATCCATGCTCCTGTCCAACTACTTAAATGGTAGATTCCATCCTCTAACCTTTCAGGACATCTCTCAGCAGTTCCCTCTCATTTTTATTTATTTATTTAAATTTTTTTAATATTTGTTTATTTTTGAGAGAGAGACAGAGCGCGAGCAAGGAGGGGCAGAGAGAGAGGGAGACACAGAATCCAAAGCAGGCTCCAGGCTCTGAACTGTCAGCACAGAGCCCTATGTGGGGCTCAAACCCACTGACTATGAGATCATGACCAGGGCCACAGTTGGAGGCCTAACTGACTGAGCCACCCAGTCGCCTCTCTCATTTTTTTAGAGTCAATATTTGCCTTTCTTTCCTAGATCTTCCTCTCAGCACACAAATATGCTGTCATTTTCCTCATCTTACAAACATGAACGCCTCTTGACCCCATTTCACCTTTTAGTTGCTTCCCGTTTTTCTGTTCCGTTTTATAGCAAAACATCTTAAAAGAGTTGTTTCTACTCCCTCCCAATCAATTCCTTGTTAAGTTCGCTCCAGCAAGACTGTTATTATCAAGGTCACCAATGACTTCACATATCTAATGGCGTATTCACCTTCATCCGCATAGCAACATTTGACACTCCCTCTTTGAAAGCCCTTCTTTACTTGGCTTTAGGACATGTTCTCTGGTTTGCCTTCTAGTTTACTGACTGCCCTTTGTTTCCTTTGCTGGTTTCTCCTCATTTCTACAACCTAGTAACTCTAGAATCCAGTCCTTGGACTGCTTCTGTATTTATTTACACACACACTTGCGGTGAGCTCATCCAGTCTTACACATTAAAACCATTTCAGTGTGGATGACTCCCAATTTTTAGTTCCAAACTGGAAGTCTGTTCTGAATATCTAGCTGCCAATTGGCATTTCAACTTGGATACCTAATAGATATCTCAAATTTAACATACAAAACGCTGGACTTTTTTGCTCCCCTTTAACCGCTGCCGTCTTCCCTATTTCAGTGAATGACAACCCCGTCCTAATAATTGTCCATGTCAAAGCACCCTGATGTTACCTGACACCTCTTTTTCATCTCTGGTTCATCAAATCACATAGACTTTAACTTCAGAATATATCCAGAATCCTGTTTCTTCTTACTTCCACTGCTTCCACCCTAGAGCAAGCCAGAATTCTCTATCTCCAAGACTTCTGCAGTAGCTGGTGTATCTGCTTCCACAACTGCCCACTTACAGTCCATTTTTAACACAGCAGCCAGACTGAATAGTGTTAACATAGAAGCCAGGTTATGTGACTCTTTTGCTCAAAACCCTCTGTGTCTTCCTATATTGGAGTAAAAACTAGAGTCCTTTAAGGGCAAGTGAGACCCTCCAGGATCTGCCCTCCTCTCCCCGCTTACTGCTTTGACCTCATTTCCTGCTACTCACCTTGTTCACCCTGCTCCAGCAACATTGGCCTTTTTATTTTTCCTTCAACACTGAAGGTGTACCAGTCCCTCAAGGTCTTCATACTTGTTGCTTTCTCTGCCTAGAAAGCTCTTCCCTCAGCTATAGCTTGCTCCATCAGTCCCATAATCTTACGTCTTTGGTCAACTTTTCTTCTTTTAGTGAGGTCTTTCTGACCACCCTACTTAAAATTGCACCCCTCCAGCACTTTCTATCCCCCTTCCCTGTTATTTATCTTCATAGTACTTAACTACCTTCTTTATTTTTTATTTTTTATTTTTATTTCTTTATTTTAATTTCAGGAATAGAATTTAGTGATTCATCACTTACATATAACACCCAGTGCTTATGCCAAGTCTCCTCCTTAATGCCCCTTGCCCTTAGCCCAGCCGCCCACTCAAAACCCCACCAGCAGCCCTCAGTTTGTTATATGTATTTAAGAGTCTCTTATGGTTTGTCTCCCTCCTTGTTTTATTTTTGCTTCCCTTCCCTATGTTCATCTGTTTTGTATCT